GCGCCGCCTCCGCCCCCGCCTCCCCCTCGGCCTGCCGCTTCGCAGCCACAGCCTGCCGCAGCGCCGCCGGCACGCCATCCGACTGCTGCTGCGCATCAAGCAGCACCTCCCACAGCGAGGAGACAAAGCCGGTCGTCTTGGCGCCTGGTGGGAGGGGGCGCGGGATCGAGGCGCCGCCACATGGAGACGCTCGGCGAGAAGTAGCCGCTCTCGTATATCTCGCTCCGAGCGGGCAGTGCGTTGAGACTGCACCGAGAAAGCCGTCAAGCGTCACGTGGATGGCCTTGGCCTCGGGCGAGCCCCCGGCCTGCAGTATGCCTTTCACATACGCGAGGACGACCTCATCCTCCTCTCCAATCACCTCGAGGAGCCGCTTCTCCGCCCAATCCGTCATGGCGCCTGCATCGGCGCCAGTGAGTGTCGAGTGCGCGGGAAAGCGCGCGGCCGGATCTATGCCGGCATCTATGCCGCGCCAATGTCGACACGCTTGAGGTAGACCTTGTGGCTGTACACGTTGGGGAAGCTTTTGCCGCCGGTGGCGTAGACAGACGAGATGTTGCGATTCTCACCGAAGCGCGCGCGTGGCCCGCGGCTGTTTTCACCCTTCCGTGTGGGCGGGATCCTCCAGTGGCGCTCGCCCGCAGGGATGCACATCGATTCTCAGAGGGTTCGGCTCCCAACTCGGATGCGGTGGAGCTCTGAACGTGTGACGCACGCATCATCCCGCGGCCTCGCGGTCGGCGGGATTGCAACCAGTCTTCGCGTGCCGCCTGTCGTTCGATTCGGGCGCCTTGGGCGTCGGGGTGGCGAGCAGGGGACGCGGCTCTGTCTGAGCGCCCAGCGACGCGTGCCGGACGGATGGAGTCCGGCCGCGGGCGACTAGGGAGTTCGCTTAGGATGTGTCGTTGGCTGAGTGTCTTGTCTTGTGGTTCTGTGTGTCGCTCCTGTGTGACCGTCATCGCCCGTCTAGCGTCCACCCATACCGCGTTGGTGTCCCACACGCCACACACTGTGCAGTCGTTGTTGAAGAGGATGCCGTCACGGGTCCTTCCAGCGGCCCAAGTATGGACAACCGCGCCGAGTGGTGCCTTCATTCTTTTGCCCTTCGCTTTCTTTTTTTGACCACCATCGTCAGCACCTCCATCGCCATCGCCGTCGCCATCTTCATCGTCGTCGCCATCGCCATCGCCATCATCGCCGCCACGACCTGGGAGCGCTACCCAGGTATGCTGCGACAACGGGTTTGCGTTGAACGAGACCAGATCATCAAGGGGCCCAAACGCAGCAAGTGCCACCAGCGCGTCCAAGCCAGCGTACGCCACTTGGGCACTGCTCAGAGGAGCCTGCTCCCAATTGGAAAAGGTCTGATTGTTGGCAACCCCGACAGCAGTGATGCGCAGGAGG